GGGCACAACACCTGCCAGGGTCACTGTGGCTAAAATTGGGCCTCCCAGGGTGCCAGTAGTCCTTCTTGTTGGCTTTATGGGGCTCTGAAGAGCAGCTTGGCAGCTGGGCTGTGGTGTGTGCTGGGTCTGGCCGCAAATCCTTGCTGGCCCTGGCCTCCTGCCCCTCCCATTGTGCACAGGAGCCACTACTTGTCCTAGAGCCATTTTCATTCTTCAGTGCCTCTCTCAAGTGAGCGTGGTTTCTCTCATGTCTCAAGGCCTGCTGCAGCTTTTGCAAAATATTAAAACTATTTTCACATCTCTCTGAGGCATTATTTGTGCAGTTCCAGCCAGATGGGATTACAGTCCCTTGCACTGGCTTTACTTGACAGTCCCAGGTAGCATACACCATTAGTGCATGAACAACTGGGAAAGATTAACCATCCTCAGACTGCATTGCTCAATCCCTCCCTAAGACCTAGAGCCAGCAACCCTGACTTACCTTTCTCTCAGGAAGAGACATACTGACTTTAGTAGAATTGGGAATGAGCAAAGCATCAGCCCAGGATTTGAAAAATCAAAACCCAATATAAACAAATGATCTATTCAGCTTATTGAGGGGTTGGGGTTAACTTTGCAACAGAGTTAGAATAAAAATCAGGAGTAGTTTCTAAGCAGTCACAGCATGCGTCACAATTTCAGTAATACTCTGTTTAAAATTATGCTCCTCCTGCTCTAACAAAAATTATTTTGCAGAGTGTGCTTCTCTGCCTAGAGAACACTTTGTCATACCAACATTTTAAATTGACTGGCCACAGCCTTGTGTAACTTGACAAAGTTGAAACATAAAAATCTCATTTAACTTAGTGACACTGATGCAAAGCTTTGGAGGTAAGAAGAGATTGCATGGGGCATGTCCGATCTTTACAAAATTCGTGGGGTAAGCATAGTTTCTTAATGTCCTGTTTAAAAGCAGACATCCTTCTGCCTACAGTGAAGCTCAGTACACTTAATGCAACAGAAACACCTGACAAAAGCCCACTCTTGTGTGTATTAGCATTTAGTCATATACATTTGTGTGTATTTTTGTATACATACATATGCATATGTATGTGAGTTTGTATATGTGTGTGTATTTATCTTGGGCTTTCTGAAAGAAGGTGAATATCAGCTGTGCCTTTTATCTGGAGGAAGGAAGTGGTGAAGTGTTGCAAACCAAATTTGCATTGCATTGAAGGCCTCCACAGTCCCTACAGATTTGCCTAAGGAGCATTAAAAGGACTAGCATTATCCTACAGCTCAGTGAAGCTGCAGTATGTTACATTTAAGGGATATGGTTGAGGAGTGAAAGCTGGAGCTATTTGATGTTATTAACTCTTTAAGAGGGTTTTTTTTTTAAAAAAAGTCAGCAATATTAGAAAGAGTTGCTCAGACTGAGCACAAGTGTGCTCCTTTTCTTGCTCAGCAACAGCGAACCATCCTCTCCATTCCTTTCTTCACCCCTCATCCTTTTGGACTGACTTCCACAATGCTCTCCCCCTCTGTACTCGTTGGAGCTGCTGAGTGCTTTGAAATTGCCGAGGAGAGGATGGGAGGTATAGTTTTCTGCAGTGGCAGTTCATCTTACCCTTTCTTTGATATGAGAAGAGGGGAGGTCCCAGCGGGGAGTCTGGCATTCACACAATCTGGTCTTGTCTTTGATAACTAATAAGAGCACGTGGCAAAGTGCACTTTCTGCATCTGGAGTGTACTATGATGCTAAAGGCCAAGGACATTCAAAAACACAAGGCATCTCACTAGTAAGCTGGTAAACAAGGTTATTTATGTGCATACCTGCAGGGTGACTAAATATGATTCACTATGATGTTACCTATAACTTGCTAGTACTTTATTCGTCTTTGAAATATGCCTGTCCCTTGCTCTAGGCAAATGTAGAAAAGAGGATCACAGAAAAACACAGGCTAGTTCACTCTTGCAGTGAACACAGCCTAATGTTACTAAACTGTCTGTTTCTATATGCAAAGTAAACAACTTTTGTATTTAAATCAGTTTGTATGAGAAAGGCAGAGCTATGGACTTAGAAGCTGACTTAAAATTGATGATTTAGAAATAGTTACAACAGACCCAATAGAAACCAAAAGTGAGGTCTAAACCTGAAAAAGTACTCTTTTTTTTTCCCCCTCCTATTTTCTGTAAATACTGCTTGTGAGGGGTTCTCATCTAAGATGATCCAGCTTCAGTGCAGTCAGGCACCTCTCTTGCCTTGACTTCAGTGTGGGCAGAATCAACCCTTGGAATCAACCCAGAATCAATCCTTCCCTTGAAGTTGGGATTTTTTTTGCCCATGGAGTGGCAGAGTGGTTTCTGACAATCCTCCTCTGAACTTGTTTGTTGCCCTTGTCATCACAACAGAGGCTCAGATGCTCTTTCAATGTCACTGTTTGTATTGCACCTATGTGTAGCACCTAGTTCTGCTCTGATACTCTGAGCTGCCAAATCAAAAATTCTCTGACAGGTTTATTTTAATACTAGACGGGCCTCTCTTCCCAAAGTGCTCATTTTCCTCCTTTCCATGCCTCCTCTGACTCGTTCTGCTCTGTTGTGGCCTTTTTTCCCCTTGCTCTCCTTTCTACTATTTCCTCTCTGCTCCTCCAAGTTGCTTTCCCTGAACTGCTTTCTGTTCCTTTTCTTTGCCTCCAGGTTTCCCTCACTGGCTTGCTGCCATCCATAGTTATCTGTGGCTCTCCAGAACTTTTCTGTTGCCTTCTGCCTTGCTGGTGCTCGACTTTTGTCCATCCATAGAAGCTTTCCGGTAATGGTAGAGATTTCCTATAGAAATTTTACACCTTTAACTTGCCCCATCGCATAGAGGTAGTCACTTAACCTGCAGCAGACCCTGAGCAGTCCCTCACAGATGACTAGTGCTGATCTCTGAGCCTTGTGCCTGCCTCTGGTGTGGTTGCCTCATGTGGGAAGCAGATGATCAGCTGTTTTCTGTGTCCTGTCCAAGTGGCTGTGCACCAGGAAGCACATGGTGAGCTCCTGCAGGGCTGCTGCTGGACGTGCACAAAGCAGAAGGCAGTTCCTGAAGAGCCAGCCCAGGAACATTGTATTTGCTTGCAAATGTCGCATACATAACTTAGTTTTCTATATGCTGCATTATAGCATTGTTGTTGTTGTTGTTTACAAGACCATCTGGGAGTGTGATTTATGAGAAGAGGGAGTTCTACAGAAGGAGCATAGTGGTTTCCACAGACAGCAGCTGTTCCGGTGCTGTGACAATACAGATAAATACACTGCATCTATTGTGCTCTTTTCATTGTTGACATTGTCAACAGTTCATTAGTGGAGCTTGCTCAGAGCTTCTGTCTGGCAGACAAAGGATGCAGCTCTTGGTTATCAGGCTCTAGCAGAAATGTGTAACCAAAATTAAGTTTGTGGCTTCTGGGTTTGTTTTTTTATTAGCTGAATTTCATGGTTCATTGGTAATGATGGAGATAAATGAAGCTGGCTGTGTTGTTATAAAGCTAGACACAAGTTGCTTTTTTGTGGTGAACGAAGGCAATGTGTGGGGGAAGATTTTGGTGGAAAGGAATGGAAATGAGTTGTGTTTTTCATGACAGTTCTCACCTGATAAGAAATCAGCGGTAAAAATGATTGCAGGAGCTCGCATTTTTCATCATGCTTTGACTGCTTTATTCATTTTATCTCATTCTCCCTTTACATCTTTTTCTTTTTTGTGGTTCATCAGGCATCAAGACAGGGAGCTCTCTGGGGAAAGCCTGTCAGCTGAGTTCTGCCACCGAGAGGTGCCATCTCCCCTCCAGAGATCCTGGGAGATCCCATCATTAATAATACAATGTGTGGAAAACCCATCATCTCAAGGGTCTGGATTTCTCAGCTTTTAACTTGCCTCCGTGCTTTGCAGAAGTATTTGAGTGTGCTAGGGTCCTCAGGAGGTCATGGTGACAACTTCTGTTCTGGGGGATTTCAGTCAGACAGCTATTTGGATAGGACTTTTCCCTATCCTACATCTGCTTTATATGAACTGCAAAAGAAGAAGTGACCTGTGTTAGAGCTAGGTGTGGGCAGTGTTTTGAATTTCTCTTTCTGCATCAAACAGATTTATCTTGGTATCTTCAATATGCTTGTAAAGTATGGCGTGACTTACATGCACTTTGTGCATTGATACCTCTTTAAAAAAATTTTGTTCCTCAACATCAAGTTTAAGAAGGTAAGAAGGGCAGTGCAATATGTGATACACGTGAAAAGTCCATCTCCATACACCCCTCTTTTCAACTCCACTGTATACTTTTAGCTGCTCCCTGAGTAATGCCACCAAGATATATCTTGTCAGTAATATTGCATAGATAGCAAACCCTTTGTAAAGACTTTAGAGACTGTAGTGACTGTTGTCATGAGATGAATGAATTTACCCACAAAGGAAAGGGGTAAGTGTGTCTGTCCCAGAGAGGGGTGTTGTAGGCAAGAGGCATCAAAGAGGAGTTGCTAGAGCTGCCAGACTTAAGTCAGGCCAGTGCTGTAGCTAGCTCCTGTCCCTTGTGATGAGAATCAGATGCTGCAGAAGACAGCATAAATAACAGGCAGAGAACAGAAAATTGACAGTCCTGGTCTCTACTAATTGAAGACCTGTTATCCCTAATTGCCTGTAATTATCTGTCGTTCTCTGGATCTTATCAAGTCTTTGGATGTAAGGGATTCCTGTGGTGTTATTTCTGCAGAGTTTCTGAAGAATGTGTGAAACAAGCTTTCCCATATGCTGATTTTTTTTTTAATTTCCTGCCTTTACATACCCCTGAGTATTCTTTTGCCCTTCCAACAACCTTTCATCCTTTTCTCCTTCATCAGAGAGGAGTCAGCTGTTAGTGGGAGTTTTACCCTTTTCAGAATCCAGTCTGAGGTGGCTAATGCCATAGTTCCCAGGTGGCGAGGTTGAGGGAACACATGTTTGCAGGGAGGAGGGATGCTACTTGGGCAGCTGCTGGGAGGAGCAATGGATCATGGCCATGAAGCAGGGAGAAGTGACAGCTGAAATGGTATTGAGAAGAGCCCAGTTTAGCAGAGGGAGGAAATGGGAAGCAGTACAAAGGAGCACAGTAGCAGAAAACATTGGGCTGAGTTGCCACCTTTCAGCCTTGATCCATGTGCCAGCTGAGCAGCTTCAGTTCCTGCATGTTTCTGTGGAATATCTGTCTGTGGGTCTGTTCAGAAGTCAACTGTACCTGGTCCCTAGCAACCTAATCTGACTTTGGATTTGACCCTTCTTTGGATGAATCAAATCAGACTCTTTTACTGAACATTATTGAACATTATTTGTGATTTTGTATCTCTTCTGTCGCGGCTGGAACTTTCATCCTATTACTCCATCCTGGATTGTGTGTGCACACATGGGTTAGTACATATATGAGGGAAAGGAGGAATAAGGGAAAAGGATAAAAAATATTGAGGACTACAGTGTTAATGAATACTGTAACTGGGAAAAAAGGGCATATCTCCTGTTGAAGCAATAGTCTGGTCAGGAGAGAGAGCAGAACAGCAGTCTCCCGTGCAAGACAGCTTACGTGTGTTCCCTAAAGATTTAAAGTTCCTAACTGCTGCTTGCGGGTTTGTGCAAAGAGAGAAGGATGGACTCAAGATCTGAATCTAGATGAGAGGGGCTCAGTATAATACTTATCTTCATGTACTTACTAAAATATAGAGCATTTAGGAGTATCTGCATTCCACCTTGCACACATCTTCAGAAAGTACACCTTGGCTTCTGCTCTTGCTCAGCCTCCCATATGTATTGAACTGATTTTGAGAAAGTAGGGTATCTCTTGGATATTTTTTGTTCCTGTCCTGGCCACAAACATGAAGTGTAGTCCTTTAAATTGGAGAAATAGGGTTTGCCCACAGTTTGAGATCATGCATACATAGCGACTTGTATATAGCAACACATCTCCAGAAAAAACAAACTTCTGTGTATCATCATTGAAAGATGACATTGGAGACATACGGGAGTTAGGCATGAGCTTACTCTTCCTCGGAAGGCACTATAGGATATTTGAGACAACGTGCTCTTTGTCAATGCTGACCATCAGGACTGCTCTATGATTTCATTATGAGCCATGAAGCACATGCTGCAATTCCTGTCCTGCTTCCTGCAGTAGAAGCATGGGATGCATTATCTATGGTTTTCAGAATGTCATTCATTGCAGATTTGGTGGCTCACATGGCAGTAATAGGACAGCACTACCAAGGCTTCTGTGTTTACCTCAGAGGTTGGCTCTCAGTTTGTTCTCCTCTGCTGCTGAGCTCGTTTCCTGCCTGTTTGCAGCTCTGGGCCCCTCTCCCATGCCTTAAGCCAGCATACCAGGTACACAGCTGCTGGCCTGCTCCCCCAGCCTCCTGCAGCTGCTCCGGCACCAGGGTCCCAGAGCAGGAAGGATGCTGCAGGCCTGTGGTGCTGTTTGTACTGTGCTTTTCCAGACACGTGTTGCTCTGTGTAAAGTTGCTACCTACACTTGGTCTCAAATGGCAACCAAATCCTTTTCACAGAGTCTTGAGGACTCTGCCTGGGGCTTTTGGTCTGGAAAGTGGCAGAGATGATGTCAAAGGGATTGAATGAGGTCACTGACTATGGGGGCCGTGCACACAGCAGGTGATTGCCACCCTGGGTTAGGTGGTATGCCTGTGTCGTCCCTCCCGGCACCCAGCGTGTGGGCTCCCCTGTATGCAGGGTGAAGGAATCTTAGAAGTTTGTGGTATTTGGCAATAGGGTTTGTGGTAAAAAAAGGAGCCAGAGGGACTCCAGTTTACCTCAAGCCCTGTAAACATAGATGTTTATAGCATTTAAATCACTTGAAATAATAGCTAATTGTCCAAGCACGGTATGGGTAACAAGACAGAGAGCAAAGTTTTCCTGGGAGGAGTTTGTGCATGTTTTCCATTAGCAGTCAGACAAGGGCCAAGGCAGAGAAAAAGGCATGAGAACAGCCTTTCACCATGACCTCACTAACAAATTTCCCAGCTCTGAGCTCAGTTCTGTTGCATGACTGAACAAGTGGAGAAAACACAACTGGTTCCAGGATACTGTTTGCTTTACCAGTATCTTATTTTTATTTTATAGCAAGTGGAATAAGGGCTCTTGGGTTGTAAAAGCCCCAGATGGAAATATAGGCTAGACACATATTTATGGTCTGTGGGCAGAGACAACAGCCTTGGGGCATGTTATAGCTGCTGTATGGGTGCTTCATATGCGGTCAGTGGGTCCCACGCACTCCAGATGCATCCAGCTTGTGGTGCATTTGTATCAGGGTTAATGAATGATGGGAGTGCTGGGCTCTGTCTGCAGAGTCAGCTGGCATGTGTGTGTCTGTTTGTTCAGGCATTTCCAGAGTCTGGAGATCCTACATCAGTCTCTGGCTTTTTTTTTTTTTTTTTCCTTTCTTTCTGCCTCATCAAATCTTCCAAACAGGAGAAAGAAGACAGGCAGGAGAGAAGCCCCCACAAAGTGAAGAAACTTGGGTGCGGTTCTGTGACCCTTCTCTACACAAATCCTGATTCCTGGGTGAGAAAGGAGCTCGAATGGGGCATCCTAGCCTGCAGTCTCTTGCTTTTTCTGTGAAGTCTGGGGTTTCCTGAGGTGTAGCCTTTGACAAGAGCGGTCTGAGGTATTCCCTGCTGCTCACCTAATTGTGCTGGCAAAGCAGAGAAGGCCCTGTGTTGTGGTGTGGGAGAGGAAATGAGGTGCAGGGGAGGGTGAGAGCACCTTAAACCAGTGTCGACACCACAGACTTTAACTTGCAAAACCAGGGTGTTCCTCATGCACGTAGGTGCCGTGGTTGATGACAGCAGCCAGTTAGTGAGTGCTGAAAGGGACTGAATGGAGGGACTGGGATCTGCACTCCTCCTGGCTGCTTGGGCAGCCAGTGCCTCACTCTGGTTTGCATGGGTGTGGGATTGGGAGCAGTGTCTTGGGCCATGGGATCATTGGCTATGACTAACTGAAAACCACAAAAGCATCTGTTAACTCTTAAAAACAGAGACTTGCAGAATTAAGATAAATGACAGCCTTACAAACTTTTTGGCAATTGCAGAAGAAATTATGGGTTTCAACATATATATATAGCCAGGCAAGTGGTTTCTGTGTGTTTGGGCTGTAGATGTATGAAAAGGAAGGCTTTAGCCTGGCCAAACTGAATTCCCTACATGGGGAATTCATTTAAGGTCAGCAGCTGTATACCCCAAAGCTGTTCGTCTGCAATCATTAAGCACATATATAGGAAGCTGTCCAGGCAGATGTATCACTTACTCTCCTTCCTACGCTGTCTGCTTTTTGGTTTTGATATTACTAAAAGCTTCAGTAAGAAGTGGTTTTATCGTGTCAGATGTTACAAGTTGTCTGTGCCAGTTTCCAAGTTGGAGTGTGGGTTTGCATGGCTGGTGTCATTCCAAGAACTGGAAGGAGGAAATATACCAGGGCTGGAAATTCCTGGTGAATGCAAGAAGCTGTGAAACCTCCCACGGGATGATCTGTGACAGTGCAACAGGCTGACAGCCTTGTCTGACTTCTTGGTGAAGCATAAAAAGGCCGTGTGGAGCTGCAGATGCTTTCCCTGATTACTAATGAGAGAAAGGCCTAACCGCTTGGCTGGTTTTCCTCACAGGATGAATGCTCAGAGTTGTTGGCAAGGTGTTTTTTTGGTTTGGGTTTTTTTTTCTTTTTCTCCCCCTCCCAATCCGAATATCTTCATTTATTTGAAAGTATCCCTTTTCTTGGTAAAATGCTTATTTCAACAGTAAATGCTTATCTGGGAAAGGGTCCAAGATCGAGGGCAGATTTGACACAGAGCAGTTGAATGCCAAATCCTGTGTGGGTCAATGATGAGATGTTCACCTGCAAGGTGGGAGGCACAGCCGGGTAGTCTCTGCTCTAACTATATCAATATTTGTGCAGAGTGGATCATGACCAGCAGGTGAAGTGGAGGCACCCCACAGTAGCTGGCACCAGGGTGGCTGGCCCTGTTTTCTGTGATGTGGGCTACAGCAGGGCAGCAGCATGTTTCTAACATCCATAGGTGGGTGTCTGAGCCATGGGGCCATTGGCAGCTTTTCTTTTTTTCTTTTTTTTTTTTAAAGGGAAGATGAAACCACTTGTATTGAAAGGTTTGAACGTCATTCAGATGTGGGATGGGAACATATTTGTGGAGGGGCGAAGCAGATCCACTCAGGCCTGGTCACACCCAGTAGTTAGGAAGCTGAGCTGGTCTGCAATTCAGGTCTGTAATGTGAAGCACAACCCAGCTAATATGCAGTCTGTGGACCCATGCAGATGAGTTTTTTCTCATTTTCAGCCTTTCAGAGAATTTTCATGCAAAGCTACTCGACTGTAGTGTAACCATTCAAAGCAAAACACAAGCTGCCTTCCTTATATGCCTGCAGGTATACATTGCTCTGCTATTAGAAGGGGCGGTGAGTTGTACTGGGGTGAAGTGATAGTGATGCTGAAAAAAACAGGCAAAATGAAGGACTTGAGCAATAGAAGGGCTTATACAAACAGGCTACTTTTGTGGGTCAACCATCAAGTAAACCCAGTTGCTTTGGAAACAATCTCTGTTTTATTTAGAGCTGTAACTGGAGGAGAGCTGACAGCTTCAAAGTCACACTTTTGTCTGGAAAGTTTGTATGGTATCACATCTCGTTGGTAGCAAACAACACAGACTGATGCAGACTGAAACTGTGGATGTTCCCACGCTGTGCATATTTATGGTTCTTCATGTACATTTGTCTTTTAAATAGGGAGATAGAGATGTACTTAGTTTAACACAGTTTTAGTATATTGAAGTACTTTCTCACAGACTGCTTTGCAGATTTGCAGTTTTGATGGTTTTATGGTTTTGATTTGTTGGGTCTTTTCCTGCTCCAGCTTTTTGTTGGTTTTTTTGTTTGTTTGTTTGGTGTGGCTTGTTAAATTTTATAATTTCTCTCAGGTATTTCATTTTCATGTGTGTGTCGTACTCCTTGGAAAAGATGCACAAATGTAGAGGCTAAATGATGCTTGAGTTAGAAAAAGTATGTTGCAAATATCAGAAATAAAAGGGCTGCTAGAGGAATGTGAGATTTTGGGGTTTAGTTCTCCTCGAATTCCCTGTACATGAGAAACCTGTGCTATGTTTCTCTCAGTCTGCTAGAGGAGGGGGAAGTTACAGATGTCCTGCAGGTTATACATACAAAATAGAGTATTACAGTTGAAGATCACCATACTGAGCAATTCAAAATTGCATTGTAATCCATCATTCTGGACACTGGACAGTAAAATTCCCATTTTATTTCTTTCAGCAGCACTGTGGTAATTCAGTGATTATATGAAAAAAAAAGAAATCCAAACAGTGGTCTTGTACTTGAAGAACATGATACTGAGAAATTTTCCTTGGGGCACTCACTGGGGCTTACAGTCAGAGAAATACAAAACTGCCCTCAAAGCCTTTTGTTTAGCTTGTGTTTATTATTTTCCTCTTATCTGTGGGTTGTATTTTTTTTTGTTTTCTTGGGTTTTCTTTTGCTTTTTATTGACAGGAAGAAAAAGGATGAATAATGGTTCTTGGAAGCAGAAAACAGGCTGTTTGATTATCATTGCTGGGAATGCTGTGTAGCAAAACTGTGGGTGAGGGAGTAGGTGGTTCTACTTCTGCTTGTCTTGCAATTCCTAAATATGAACACAAACAGCTGAGTTTGTGTCAGGCTTGCAACTCTGCTCGTAACTACACCCACCTCAGCTTGAGGTGCACTCTTTATGATCAGTTGGTTTAAAAGACATTTCTGGGAGGCATATTTGAGGTTATTCACATCATGAGTGGCTGCTTTTGGCTGCTGAAATGTGTGTAAGTGTGCTTTTGTCTATGCTTATGATCTATTTGCCTTGTTTCTAGGGCTCATCACAATAAAAGAAGCCCATGATATAGAAGCCAGACTTAATGAAGTGGAAAAGCTTCTGAAGACTATTATAAACATGCCCTGGAAGGTGAGCAAGCCAAATTCCAGTTTAGCCCAGTTTGAATCCTCCTTATGGTGACGTGCACTCTCATGCAGATTAGAAAGTGGTGGGCTTTGCCAAACTCTGAAAGAAACAGCAATTTATTGAGGATCTTGGAGAAATGCTGAGGGCCAGAACTGTGTACGATGCCTCCAAGCTGTTGCCTGTAATAAGTCTTTCTGTCATACTACAAAGGAGTGGAGAGGGAGAAGGGGAATAAAGCAAACCACTGGTAAAAAATTATATCTGTTATTTTTCTTTCTCTTTTTAAGTATTCAAGGTCTGAAGTTGTCCTCACATTCTTTGAGAGATCTCCTTTGGACCAAGTTCTGAAAAATGACAATGTCCATAAAATTCAGCCAAATTTTCAAAGTCCAGTTAAAATATCAGGTAAGAGTTGTTAGCTTCCTGCAGTTGACACAAGAATTACAGAATAAAAATTACTTTATTTGCTGTTCCCCTTATTCTTTCTCTATCAGCAATTCAAAAGATAGTTCTCAGTAGTCTGCTTTATGATATAGAACATATAATTAGCCTTGAGATACTATGCAACGTGTTCAGGTGATAGAGTGGCAGGTGAAACGGAGGCTGATGAATGCAAATAAGTGGATGTGAGGAAAATGCAGTCCTTACTGCATATTGTCACTTATGATAGTGCTTTTACCACTTAAAAAGAAGATTTTGAGGCTATTGATACAGTTATGAAAATGTAAGCTTAGTGCCAAGTGATGAACAAAGCCAGCAGTGAGAATATTGGATATTATTAGGAAAGGAGGCAAAAACAGAGGAGAGGAACACAACCCCATCTTGAAAACACTGTGCACAATTTTGGTCTCTCCATCTCAGAAAGGATATAATAGAATTTAAAATTACACAAATAAAGGGCAAGGACTCAAGCTGTTGAACAGCTTCTCTAAGAAAGAGGTTAAATAAAGAAAAACACTTCACCTATGAGAAGAGGCGAGAGTGGGGGTGTGATGGAAATCTACAGAGCTGTGAATAGAAGGAGGTCAGTACCCTGTACTTCTCTTGAAACAAGAGCTATAGGTTATCCAATATCATTGACAGACAACAGGCTTTAAGCAAACAAAAGAAAGGTTATAATATTGTTTTGTTTTCATACAGAACATAGTTGATGAGTGCAACTCATTGTCATAGGATATGGTGGAACTGAAAGCATAAGTGACTTCAAAAAGGAATTAGACAAGCAAGTGGAGGAAAAGTACATTGAAACCTGTCACAGGTGGAGACACAGGAAGTTCCTAAACCACAGATTGCTAGTGGGGATTGTGGAGAGCAGTATTACTCTATCCTTGCCTATTCTTTTAACCTTTTCCCCCTTCGTCTGCTACTGACCATTGTTAAAAGGTTTGTGAACTTCTGGTGTGCCTGGTTTTGTATTTCCATACTGAAACATTTTGTTTGTGCCTAATGTCAGCTGCTGGGTGTGTGTCACAAGAAGAACTTATTCGGAGAGCTAGTTGAAGTGAAATACTACATAGTCCTCCAAAACACATAAACCATTTAGCAAGAAACTGATATCAGTTTTCTTTGGTGCTAATGATGTTTCTGTTAATGGCCAGTCAACATGCTAAAAGGTGTAAACAGTGTGCCTTCAAGGTTGTTCTTATACACAGGGTAAACTATTTGTAATTGATCCTTAGCTCTGGTTCTAAGTGAATTAGTCCTCTGTTAAATAAATATCTTTTTAATTAAATGGAAGATGGTTTGAAAGCCCATTAATAACTCTTTAGAAGAATAGTGTGCAATACAGAGACTCAGTGAGAAGTGTGGTCTTGCCAGCCAGTTTGGTCTCGTGCCTTCTCGCTGAGCCACCCAAGCCCAGGCTGTGGGGCAGCTCAGGGATTGTAAAGAGCACCCCCAGGGATATACTGCAAAGTGGGGTGACACAAGTCTGGCTTTCTGGGAGCAAGAAATGGGAGCCAACATGCTTATCTCGCTCCCCACTTGTGGCTAGGGAGGTTTGGATGATGCCTTGAATTGATGTAGAAACCTGACATAAAATTCCTCATGTGTATGTTTTTCCAAAGGCTGACCACGGTTACTCTCTTGGCTCCTGAACGTCAGGTCGTGTTCTCAGGACTGACCCTTGAGAGCGTATTAATGGGTTTTGTCTGAAGTATGTTGCTACTCTGTGAGACCAGAGCTGCAAAGTGGGTCCTAGATCCTGCCCATTATGAAGTGAAGGAAAGCCAAACTAAATGCTATAAAAATGTTCCAGAGGGTGGCTGCTGTCAATAATACCTTGCTGTTGTTGCAAACAGCAAATATCAAGAATAAATGTATTTGGAATTGCATAGGTGAGAAACTGAAGCATTTCTCTGGTTTGAGCTTTTTGCTGTTTGGAAGGGTTTCATATACCTCTTGGGAAGGCATGCACCCCCTCAGGGCACATGTACTCTGTGTGTGTGTGACTGAATATGGCACACGGTGGATACAACACAGAGAAGACAGTCAAGATGAAGCTAAATTCAGAGCAAGGGTGCCTGTTGGATGGACAGAGGCTAGCAGCAAAGGGAGCCCTCCTACAGCTCCTGTATGTAGAGGAGCTGTGGAAACCATGTTATCTGAATAATAGCAGGGTTTGTCATACCTAATTAATTAGAGGAAAATTCTCCTACCCGTGTAGCTATCCAAAAGTATCTTGTGTTTATTAGTTTTATCATTGGAGTGATTGCTGCTAAGAATGTAAGAATATAGGTGGAAGTTTGCTGTTAATTGGTATTTACCTCGTCTGTATGTTGCACGCTGGGAATGGTTCAGTGTCTGGCAGCATTGTCAGTAGATGGCAGTAAATGATAATGTGTAAAGCAGTGAAATGCTGTAACTCTTAGGTCGTGTCAAGGACACTAGGAAAACACTGGGATTTGTGTTAATCGTAGTGCAGCAGCTTTCTACGTGGCTTGCAGTCTTAGAAAAGCAGGCAAAAGTATATTCTCTGAAAAAAACAAATTGTCCCCCACATGGTCCTTCTCACAGTGGTAGGTGCTGGGAAAGAGAGAAGGGGCCGCCCTTTTAGACTCTTAGATGAAAGCTGAATTTGAATTTATGGTGTAAATCTTATTCTGCAGTACAATGTTTGCTCAAGATAAGTAATGTGAAGTGTGATTCTGCTGGGACTCACTGTTTTCACAACCCCCAAACATATTCTGTTGAAGTGGGTTGCAGTAAAATACAGACTGAAAGTCGAAGATGACTCTCAAGAAAAATATGGAAGTGAGTTCTGACTTTACCTTAGGACCATGTAAATGTTAAAAAATTACCTTCTTTCTCCTATCTCATCTCCTGTTCATTACTTGAACTGTATATATAGCTGAAATTTGTTTGTGTGTTTTCTGCCTACCATATTTTCTGCCACAGGCTAATTTCCTTTTGTTGTGCTCAGAATGAAAGGCTGTAACACAGGGCCATTGTACCTTGAGGCAGATTGAGAGTTATCCTACTTAAGTCAGTGCTGATTTTTTAAAAGATGTATATTTGTTTTCTGACGTTTTTAGCTTAATCTAAGATTGTGTGGCCAAAAGAAATCCTTGTGACTTGCCTAGTTTGACTTTCCGTACAGCACAGATGTGGATTAACTTCTCATTCACATCAAATACTATTCTAATTATAAATTCTCCCCATGGTAGTAAGTTGGTGGAATTAGGTGTAATTTTAGATATTCTGTATTGGAGGCTTCTTAAACAGTGAGAAAAATAAGCAGGGTTAAGGACAGTGTAAAACATGGTATTGCTTTACATGACTTAAAACTGGTGGGTGAATTAACTTGGAAAGCCACTTTTTATTTCCCTTTTTCCGTCTTTTTATTTTTCCTTAACTGGCTTAAGCCTGGGACTGACAAGGAAAAATACAACTGTGTTTTGGTAGTGCTAGTTGATTAGGTGAATAAAATTGCTTGAGCACTGGCAGTTTGCAGATGTAAGAAGCTACGAAAGCAACTCTTCATTCCTGCTTTCATGTGCAGATTTTCAGTGTCATGCACGCGTCTCAGTTCATAGCCGTGTCAATTACATACCATACGCAGTTGGTTTTCAGCTTTTTTTTTTCATCTTGTTTTCTTTCTTCTCCCAACAGAAATCATGCGATCAAATGGATTTTGTTTAGCCAACACTGAAACAATAGTCATTGACCACAGTATACCTAATGGAAAAGAGAAGCACCTGGATGTAGATTCAGCAGAACATTTGTAAGTGGGGTTTGAGCATGACCAGTGCCGTCACCTTCGGGTAAACTGTAGCTTTCCCTACCCCCTAGCAAAATGTTGTTGTCTGTCTAAGAGCAAGACTGGTACAGCTGTCATTCTGACTGGCTAAAGATTACTGAACCTGATTGCTAGCACTTCACAGCGATTTCTTGTTAGAAGGGATAAAATGGCAGAATGATTGATGCCAAGGAGCTCAGTCCTCTGTATGAAAAAAGAACTGTGGTTGTCATAGGGATCCTGCCAGGTGAGAATAGAGTTTTTTCTTTCTCTCATGACTGTGATGAGAGCTTCTTTGAGCCCAAATCTGGAAACACAAACATCCTTACAGATGGTATATCCTACTACGAAGAGTAGTAGGATGTTTGGGATGCAAAATACCATCCCCAGAGGGGAAGACGCTGCCGAACGTAATTGAACAAAGGTCAGCTGGGACTTGGTGGAGCATGTGTATTTCATTAGGGAAAAGGGAATTTGGAGTTTTATTGGTAAATTCTGCTCCTAATGCATGGAGGTATTCTGGGGTCAGTATTCTGTAACCAGTAGGGCTTTTATAGCCATAAACCAAAGCACAAGAAGTTCAGCCTCAACATGAAGAACTTAAACTGAGGAGAGCAGAGCACTGGAACAAGCTGCCTAGGGAGGTAGAGGATTCTCCCTCTCTAGAGACATTCCAAACCCACCTAGATGCATTCCTGTGTCACCTGCCCTCGGTGACCCCACCTTGGTAGAGGGGTTGACCTAGATGATATCCAGAGGTACCTGCCAACCCTAACAATTCTGTGATTCATGTAGGTCTTAAGTCAGTGACTTAATGGGTATTGATGGAAATCTGCACTGATTTCTGTCATAGCAGGTGATTGATTGTTTAAATGAACTTCAGGTAGTGAGGCATTTAAATATTTTTGATGAGAAACATTACCTGCTTTTTCATTAGACCAGTCAAAATGATGGAAACAGAATACTAAAAGCCTTATGGATCCTTTATCTTTGAAAGCAGTGATCTGTCTTGCCACATTTGAAATGTGGTAATTGACAGTCTGTAGCAAGATTTAGAGCTTGACAAGATTTTTTTCAGAAGCTGGAGTGTATCTCTGGCTACAGTGTCACTTCTTGAAGTCTTTTTATTAACTTATCACTTAGTGTTTTGAACCTTGACCTTGCTAACAGCATTTAAGCTTATAAGCTTGTATTAATGAGGCTGAAATGGCACACTAGAGGTAATTCTGTAAGGCCATTGTCTGGAAATTAAAGTTGATATACTTCTCAGTGGATCACTCTTTAATACTGAGAGTGACAAATAATAAGAGCAAATTACCAAAGGAAGCCTTTTCCTTTCTTATTTTGATTATTTAAAAAATTTTGATTAAAAAATGCTTATAAATTAGTTTTGTTTTGAAAAATGTGCTGCAGCCCAAGCAAAACTTGCTGACCTGAGATCAGAAACTGCCATCATCTATATGTCATCCCATTGAAGTCAGAGACTATTAAGGCCAGAAAATACTAATATGATAAAAACTATGTTGTGGGCATGGTTTCCCAGAAACTGTGGTGGAAGCAATAAATCTAGGGTAACAGCCTGACTTTGTGCATTTGTGCTTTAACTTCCCGAAGGATGTGAAGTCAAAAGGCAAGAAGTTAGTAAATTTCAAATGTGTGTTTTATATGGTGGCCTAAATTTTCTCATTCTGTAGCTGTATTTTATAGTTGAGAGGTAATAGCAAGGAGATAATGGCCCCAGTGTAGCACAGCTGTTTTGTAAAAAATTGAACTTTCTTTTTTAAAAGCAGAAATTTTCTATAGTAATAAGACAAGGCGAAATGGCCTTAAGCTGAAGGAGGGTGGATTTAGATTAGATATTAGAAAAAAGTTCTTTACTGTAAGGGTGAGGCACTGGAACAGTTTGCCCAGCTTGTGGACTCCCCATCCATGGAGGCACTCAGGACCAGACTGGATGGGGCTCTGCGTAACCTGGTCTAGTGGAAGGTATCCCTGCCCATGGGAGGCAGCTTTCCAGGCATTCTTCCTCTAATGCATTAACAGAGGTTAAAATGGTAAAGAAGTGTGTCTTACAGCACAAGAAATAGGCTCTTGTGAAAGACAGTGTGTGTGTCAAGGTACTTTGTGGAAAAAATAGCACGGGCAGGAGTTTGGGCATTTAGGAATCTACAGGTCCATAGTAGCTTGCAGAGTTTATTTTGAGAAAAAGACCTGTTGGTAACAGCACAAAAGTATTTTGACTGTTGAGTGCCCTATAAACTGCTAACTGTAGTAAACAGTCCTGATTCATTGGCTTTGGTTTTGTATGAGCACTCTAGAGTGGTGCTTTGCAGACTTCTGTGCGCACACTTCCTTTTTGGTGGCAAGGAAAGCTTTTCTGCTTAACCACAGCATCTGAATGCCACTGCTTTGTACCTCACATTCTGGTTGTGGTAACCTATCAGTGATTCTGAAGAACCAAAAAATCTGTGGGACCTTTCAGTTGTAATAATCTAGTTTTATACTATTGACAAGAGAAAGAGAGCAGAATCTGAGTAGCCTTCTTGACTCCTCTTACGCTTTCTTCATTCTATCTGCCCCACTGGTATTTCATAATCTGTTGTTTCTGGATCACTAGCAGTGCATAAGATAGCACAACGTGATCTGTGAAGTATTTGCAAGATACCAAGTCAACTTCCTTCTGCACATGTTCCCACACATGCAGGGAAGCAAATAGCCTGGAGGAAATGGAGGAATGAGGGTAATAAACATTCAAAGTTCAGTCTCATTTCTATTTCATTTAAAGCAAAGAGCATAGCAACAGCACTGCAGGAGAAAATCTACGAATTTCTGCTCAAAAAAATGTTGTGGTTCTCATAGTTAAAAAAGAGAGATGAGAAGGACCAGTCAGGAGTATGGAAAAAACAGAACTATGGCCATACATTGCAGGATGTGTAGACCAGGCTATCCAATACCTTACGATGCTTCTAAATAAAGTTTCAGGAAGAGATGGGAGTGGGAGATATATCTGTTTATTTATCCTACCACTCTTCTTCAGGTCCTCTGAAATACCTGACTCTTAGGTCACCCTCTAGGGTGAGTTTGCTTCACTTACCTAAGCAACTCTTAGGTAAGAGTCTAACTAGTTTGTGTGCTAGTGAGATGCAGTTTTAAACATTAATTCTTTTAAAGCTCCTCTGTTTATCTGCCATTCAGAGAGCTGAAGTAGACCAGCCTAAAAAGGTGTTAGAATACATGCTATAGTCAGAGCTAGGTTAGGATTTCTTTTTCCATCTTGTGCAGTTTTCCAGTTTCTATTTTATTTTATTTCTCACTCTATCAAAGTGAATGAAAGTTCTTTCCAAATATTAAAGACAGTGTGAGAAAAAGAAGCTTGACAGTTCTTCAAATCCCTTTCTAAAACAGATGAAATTTAATCCTTGGCCTGCAGTGACTGCCTTTAACTGTTAGGCTATCAAGGAAGAAGATAATGTTTCTTATTGCAGAAATTCAAGCCTCGTTGGAATGGAAATGTGTATAATTGAGGAAGGTGTAGGTTTTAGCAAGTCAATGCCTTCTGGCTGAGAGTAGGTGTGAGACAGTGGATAATCCTTGCAAAAGTTCAGGTTATAACACAGGATTTGGGAAGTGGGAAGGAAAATACCCAAACAAATAAAACTAAATTTGAAATCTCTTTATATTTGGGATTTCTCTGCTTGCCAAAATTTAAATTTTGTGCCCCAGGGAGGACAGCAAGGCTCTGGAAAAAGGACACTGTAGTCATATCTTCCTACTCACGTTAGACATTTGGCTTCTTACAAAAGCCAGACCCAAAGAAGGTACCTGTGAAGTAAAACGGTGAGAGTCCAGATTCAGATGGGAAACAAAGGCAGTTCCCTTTCCACTTTTGCATAAGAACTGAGACGTTTCGTGTTGTTGCCACATGCTGGGGGAAAAAAATAGAAGGATGTGGACTTCAGCTGCATGATTCACTCTTCCAAGGCTCACTTGATGCTTCTTTCCTTCCTTCCTCACCAGTAGCTTTGAAAGTCAGGGATAACAAGATTATTTGCTTGCATGTACCATGGCTCTCATTGGTGTATGGTTTACTCTTATTCACATGGGTGTAAGAGGGAGGAGGAGGAGGTGTGAATGGAATCAGCTCCAGATACTTCTCCCTCTCCCTTAGTACTGTTCTTCCAATTCCTTTGACTTTGATTTTCTAAATGAACATTAATGACTTAATGCCTTTTGGTGTTTGTTTTTCTTTCATTTCTCCTTAGGTTCGAAAGTGTTAGTGACTTTACCTCAGAGCTAGAAGACAGTGATGATCCAACAGCTTATGTCACCAATTTGACATACTACCACCTGGTTCCATTTGAGACTGACATTCTGGACTGAGACTGCTCAAGGATGCAGTCAGCCAGCATCCAGCCAACCTCTTCATCTATAGGCTCTGCTATCTCTGGCATTGCAACTCTGTGAATAAGGCTGTGCAGACAAGACCAACAGCAGAGAAGCTGCAGCAAGTACGCCACAAAGCTGATTTTGTAGTGTGGTCCTCCGTTGTGTATTATGGAGACATCTTGTAAGGAGGTTACTGCTTGGCTGTTGACAACAAACTCGTTTTCTGTGAAAGCAAAGCAGCAGAGGCCTCTTGGGGCTCAAGGAAATCTCTACCGTGTCTGTGGGAGCTGCCACTCTGATGCAGCCATCAGAAACTTGTACTGTGGTACTCTGTCAGCCGTGCTCCTCAGCTTGCAGTGCAATTTGAGGCTTCCTCTTTTAGGATACCAGCAGAAACTTCCCCAGATGGCGTGACCACGCTTTTTATGATGTGCAAGCAAGAAGACAAGCAAACCAGCTGAACTTTGTCAGTTCCCTCTGCGGTTGCTTAATGGAGGTCTTGTGGGTCGCTTTTTGCTCAGCTACTGGTTGATTGGTGCCTTACACGAGATGTCAGAAATACCATTGAGTGCCTCCAGGAAACAGAACACATGAGCTGATGGCTTTACTTCTTTTAATCATGGGCTTTTATATAATCACTGAAAGGGTGACTGCTCTTTCCTGGAATAGTAAAGCAGGCAGCAGCTGGCATTGCAATGGACTGTGCATGATGTTTGGGTACCCATACAATTTCAGAGCTCTGGAAAGCTGATGGGAAAGCTGAGCTGCTCTGCTAAGAAGGGTCAAGGCTATGGCAGGCACTTTGATACAACTTTTTTTTTTTTAATGTGGACCAGCATATGTGAATGGTGCTTACAGTTGTTTACATCAGAGAAATAATTCCCTATGCATATTTCTTCCCAGGGTTGGGAAGGAAGACAAAAAGATTTATGTTGTATTTGGACTGAAAAAGCCTGATAAGCTGTATTGTGTCTACAGTGGTAGGAAAAACACTTGTTCCACTGCCAACCAGTCTCAAGGAGTCTGTCTAGCTTTCCAAGATCTGCCTGGAGGGGTCGTGTAATGCCATGGGTTTCAGCAGAGATAGGACAGTGGGAGCAAGAGTGGGATTGGACTCTGCAGCCACTTGACCAGTGTGATGTTAAAGTCTCCTCAGAGTCTTTCTCTAGCAGAGCACTCCGAAGTCCTTGCTCTCACTACGAGTGCTCAACACTTGCCAACATGACCTTTCATTGAGCTTTTTGCAAACTGTTTGCAAATCTGAATTCGAAGGGATTGAAATGGGAAGGGATGCATTTTGGATGGGTTTCTTGGAAAAGAGGCTTGCTTGGTCCCTAAAAAACTGATACAACTCCCTTCTGCAGACTTTTCATTTCTATCTATAGAATAACAGTCAAACAGAATTTGTTAATGTAAATAATAAATTATTGAGGATCCTAATTCTTTTACACAGTATGTTTTTAAAATATATTTTAATGAAATAAAATAAAACTCACCTTCAGTACACTTCTACTGCTTAAAACAGTGGCTTCATTTTTTTTTTTTCCTTTTCATTTGAGGGCACTTTCCCAGACATGTCTAATCCTCTTTTTTTTTCTTATAGTTTTGGAAACAGGATGAATTTTGGCAGTTTCTGTGCTCCATGTGCTACTCATACTGTAGACATGGTGTCTAGGTGTGTGTGGTTTAATGCCATTTGGTTTAGAGGAGGAATTCTGCATTTTCAAGACCATCAGTGAAATCAAACCTGGCAATTATTTTTTTTTTTGAAAATAAAGCAGATCGTAAAGGAAAATTGTAAAGGTAAATTTCTAGAATAGAGATATCACTCATGCAAAGGCTTTCTGAGCAACCTCTTGAATTAGAATTGGGAATGGTTTTATTTGTTTATTTGGTTTACTCTCATTAGTTTTAACTCTTCTGTCAGTTCTTCTAGTTGACCATGGTGAAGTAGAAATAACACCTAGTAGGCATGTGCATTGGAGTGGGTGTTGTACTATTTTATTTCAATTCCTGACCTTGCTGTCAGCCTACCATGTTTCTTTGGTCTCCCTATCACTGAGTTTTCCTTGAGTAATATTTTGAAAAGCAGCATCATTGGCTTGTGATGCAATATTGTCCCCTGATTAATTTGAATTTTTCTATGAATTATTAACCACATGATAACTACTTATCTTTTAAAGCACTTTAAAATGTATGTATTAAAAAATAAATATATAAGTATTGCTAATTTTTAAAATGTACAACCAAATTCCTCATATGAAAACCGGCTGAATGCCAGAGCCCCGTGAGGGCTGGTGGAAGCAGGGGCTCCCATGGGGCTGTCAGGGCAGAGCTG